TTCGTTGAAAACAATTACGTCATAAATTAGCAACATGATTGCTTTTTATGAGTTAAAAGGTTTTGGGACATGAAGCTTGATAACACAAGTATTAGGATTTGACTTTTGAGCATTTTCTGTTTTTAAAAACCGGTGTCATTTTGACGACAGCATGTCCGGATTTTTTCAAGGATAACAAGATGGAAAAACTAATAAAGTACCTTCGTTGAAATATAAAATGAAGAACTGGTAAAGAAAATGGCCTTTAACTCTTCTCCGCCCTTTTCTTTATTATACACATAAGCTTTTCGTCCTGACTACCTAAGCTTCAGTCGGCATACATGCATCTCTTAACAAAAAAGCGTCGAGTCAAATTTTGGCTACAGATTTAACCCTATTTGTATTTTTAAAAAAAAGCACGAGGAAACCGACTCCCGTCACTTAACGAGTTCAGAAGTTGTAAAAGTAGCAGGATTTTTTTGAAATGACAATCAAGGTGGCGATGTCCTCAACTGTTCACCGTGTGAAATTTGCATAAAAAGTGGCAATTTGGCAGAACTTGAAATAAACATTGATTTAAAAAAATAGGATAAGTATGTAAAGAGACGAAGAATGGCCTTTTACTTTTATCCTATGCTTTCGTGTCCTTCTGCGCGAGCTGCACTTGCTGTGACGACCTTATACATGAAAAACTCAAAGGCTGGAAACATATGCACAAGAACAGTGAACAACAATTGATCTCGCAACGTTTCTCGCATTTTAATGCCCTGAACCTTAAAAAAATAATAATAATAAAACAGCAGGGCTTGTAATAGAGTGGCACTTTAAGAAGCGCTATATTCTCTGTTCATCTTCTCCTTATTGTTTGTATTCTGCCCTGAAGTGAATTTGCATGTCTGTCCAGGTGGCAAAGCTGCGAGAACAAATTAAAACAAATGCTTCGCTTATATGTCCGTTCCAAACAAAATATTACAGCTTAATGAACACCAACAGAGACAGAATTACTTTAGTCAAACAGAGAGGATATGTCTGAAAATTATATATATTTGAAGAAAATAAACACAACCGCCCCCATTTGACTTCAAGTATATACAAGTATATTTAGAAATTATTTATTTAAGTACACGGGCCTGAGAGGGGTGGAGGGGGGAGTTGCTCACCACCCCTGCGACCTCCAACGCTATAAAAAAAAAAGGGAGCGACAAGTCGGGATCAAATTTATTTGCAAGTTTTCGAAACCTTGCAGGATGTTTTATAAAACAATTAATAATCAAAGAAGTTCTTTGCCACATAACTGACATTTTAATTCAAAAAACTGAAACTCGTCGAGCTCTCCTCCCGTTACGTTCAGAAAGAACCTTGAACAATTTCTTTCAAAAGATAAAACATTTTTTAATATACTACTAGAAGTTAACTCGCAGCTGTAGCGAAATCGTGCTGAGAGTTTGACAAAAGCAAGAATTAACTCATTGACATGTACAGGTCGCTGCGCTTAAATAGGACGATAAGCTCATGTATGAAGGAGAACAAAAAATAATACATAGATTTAACCAAGCCTGAAAGCGGAGCTCAAGGGCCGGGTTGTTCAACGCCCAGTTAAGGTGGCTGAACACAGTTTTTGATACCTGTGTTTCATTCACCTTTT